TTTTTTTTTTTAGAAAACATGTTTTTGTTATCTTTTAAATCCCTAAGAAGCTGTATTAGCTTTAGCATCATGGTCAAATGAATGTGGTCTTTCTTCGCTTAAGAACTAAAGTAAAGTTAGCTGCAGTCCTACAGAGTATCAGGATATTGGTTTTATACATTACCTACTTGCAGTGCTAACACAACTTAGCCTGTGGTAGCTTAAATCAAAGCGCTAGCTTATTTGCTAGCTAGCCAGCTCATTATTAGCTAAACTCTCACTAATTTAAAGAATATTTTAATGATTTTTTAATATTTAGGATTTCTCTGGTTTTATACAATAATACAAATTGTTATTTCGCTTTATTATCTAAAACAGCATTTGTCTTTGGTACTATCTACTATCTACAGCAGTGGTCCCCAACCTTTTTTGGGCCATGGACGGTTTGTGTCCGACAATATTTTCACGGACTGGTCTTTAAGGTGTCACGGATAAATACAACAAAATAAAACCAGTGCCGGTGTTGTGCCAAAAAGTGATTGCCTGCCAAAAACTGATTTCCAATGTTTCCGTGTGTTTTTTATGTGTAATATCGTTATGTATGTTGCTAAATAGACTTTGGTGAATGGGTATTACAAATGGGTTGTATATAAAATTAAAAAATTACCTGTTTCTCAAGTATCTTTGTAACTGTGTTATTGTACTTACATTATAACCAATCAGCTCCCTTTTGTCCACTTAAAATATCTTTACAGAACTATTTTTGCCTTTGTTGCAATTTCAGCTGTCCTCTTGGCCAGATTACGCTTAAAAGAGAATATTTTAAAGTCAACAATAATTTTTTTTAACTGCATAAATAAAGCATACATAAAGGCCACTGCCAAAAACTGATTGCGGCTTCTACCTTGCTACAGGAATGTTGTTTGTTGCTCAAGATGATGTGATATCATTTATGAGGGATACATTTGACATATGTTTCACATATTATAGACCAACAAGTTATTTATAGCAGTTTAAATACAAGCAATCAGTTTTTGGCAAATACCAGAAATCAGTTTTTAACAGACAATCACTTTTTGGCACAACACCGGTACCAAAAACACACGCAAAAAGGCCCAGGGAAACTGAGTTAACAATAATAAACGATAAAAACCCTGAAAACCATAAATTTCACACCTGAGCCTCAACTCCTGCTGCCGGGTAACAAACAACTCCGGTCCGTGGCCCGGGGGATGGGAACTGCTGATCTACAGCATCTTTGACTGACACAAGGTCAAATCAGACCTGGGGACTCAAATCCATGTTTCTTCCATCTGTTCTTCTGTCATTCTACATAGTGTGGAGGCTAAAGCCTATCCCAGTTGCAACAGGGCAAGAGGAGAGGTACACCCTGGACAGGGCTAATTCAATTTCTTTACACCCACTGGAGCTCAGTGTAAGTTAATAGAAGTCAGCGTTCCTTGTTTGATGACTCTTCAGATGGATGTTGCTGACAGGGATTCGAATGCAATGCACCCCATTTAATCAATACTACAAAAACGTCAGACTAAAACCGAGAATAAGGAATCGCTCTTTTTGAAAAAGCCTGAAGAGTCATGTTGGCTGATTTTATGGTATTGTAATTTTGTTAGATCCTGTAAATCTGTGGTGACTTTTGTTTTTGCCTGTCAGTTAACTCTGCTTTTTGGACTGTGTGTGATTCTCCTCTTCTGTTCATATGTTTCATATGTAACACTGTATTGTTACAATCTCACCAAGAAACTTACGATAAAACTGCTGAAGAAGCATCGCTTGACTCTGAACCTTTTTCGTATCACTGCCCTTGAATTGGTTGCTTTAAAAACAGTGATCAGATATGCAAACACTCGCAGTCAGCTGCAACCTTTGGTGACTTTGATGCATCAAGACCATGATGAAAAGGCAATAAGATACAGTCAGTCTCTTATCAGTCTATTTTTGCTAATATGTTGATAAACTCTCAGCAAAAATTCACATTAGGCATTAATTCACATTAATTACTTACATTCAGAGTCCAGTCAGACCTTCATTTTTGAGACCTAATTTCAAAAATTAATCTGCAAAAAATGAGGTAGTTGCTGCAAAACAGATATTTAAATGCAAAATGACAGGAGTGCTTGGCAACCATGCTTTTGCACACAGATATAACCAGAATACAACTACGTTAGCTGAGCTGCATCGCAGACAGTTTACACTCATCAGTCCAAACTGACTCCGACTGATTGCAAAGTGCTGCCAGTCTGTTTCCTTTGCAAGGAAGCTGTCGTCCTATTACTTTGTAGAGTTTAACTTATGTGCCCGTCCCAACAGCATGGTGTCTTCAGTTTTCAGTGTTTCCCTCACACGCAGAACTCAGAATTTCACATCTGTTTATCCGTTCTCTTGCTCTCTGTCCTGTATCCTATTTCACCCTTCATGTGTGACCCTGTTTCTGCTGCACTCTCATTCTATTTCTGTCTTAATCTCGCTATAGATTATCCCTGTAAGTCACTCTATGGTCCTCTCATATGTCACTGTCAGCACTTCTTCATTTACCTCTGTCTGTAGTCTGTCTGCATCTTTCCCTTCTTTTTCTCTTCCTCTCTTAACATGTGGCCTGTTGCAGTTCCTTGTTTTTGCCTACAAAGTATAATTCTCAAGAAGGTCACATGTCCATAAATAGATGTAGCAGATGAGTGCTGCTGAGTGTTGAGAGAATGAGAGGTTTATAGAGGAAAAACATGAGGTTTTCACTGATCCTTAATACTGAATCTGCAGGCCTCTGTTTGAAGGAACATTAAAATATTTAAGAGGCTAAATCTGTACATTTATTCATGCCATGCCTTGCAGTTAAATGTAACAAATGTATTTAAGCATAAAAAGGCATGTGCCCTGACTTTAAAACATAGTTATTATAGTTATGTTTTCGGTTTCCAGGCAAAACTATTTTGGAGTGGATGATGTGGTTTGGCATGTCAGCTTTCAAGAGACAGTCCTCAGAAACAACCAGCAGTAATGAGTAAGTCTGAGTCTAAATATATATTGTATATTACATTAGATTAGATTCATTGGATATTAATGGAACATTTAATGAGAACGCCTTGGTTGCTGTCCTAGGTTTTGAAATCTCTCATTTTAATTTCTTATTATATTAGATAGATATATAGATACTTTATTGACCTCATGGGGGAAATTATTGTTACAACAGTGTGATAAAGAATAAAAATAGTACAGTGTACAATAAACATCAAATAAACAACACATGAGGAGCCAAAGTTCTTTGCCTACCATTCTGGAATTGGGGTGGATGACGCTGTCATCTACCTGGTACACCGATCCCTCTCTCACTTAGAGCAGGCGGGGAGCACTGTGAGGATCATGTTTTTTGACTTCTCCAGTGCTTTCAACACCATCCAACCTGCACTACTGAGAGGGAAGCTGGAGGGAGCCGGAGTAGGCAAACAGCTGACTGCATGGACCATCAACTACCTTACCAACAGACCACAGTATGCGAGGCTCCATGACTGTGTGTCCGAGGTGGTAATCTGCAGCACGGGGGCAGCACGGGGGCACCACAGGGCACGGTTCTCTCACCTTTCCTGTTCAGCCTTTACACTTCAGACTTCTGTTATAATTCGGACGATTGCCATATACAGAAGTTCTCAGATGATACAGCCATCATTGGATGCATATCAGACGGGAATGATCAGGAATACAGGGGGGTCGTCAGTGACTTTGCTGGCTGGTGTGGGACCAACGTACTCCAAATCAACGCCGGCAAGACAAAGGAGATGATCATAGACTTCAGGAGGAAGTCACCCCCTGCAACACCGGTGAACATCCAAGGGAAAGACATTGAGATAGTGGACTCTTATAAGTACCTGGGTGTTCACCTCAACAATAAACTGGACTGGACTACAAATACAGACGTCCTGTATAAGAAGGGCCAGAGCCAACTCCACCTGCTGAGGAGACTGAGGTCCTTCGGAGTCTGAAGGACTCTGTTAAGGACATTCTATGACACTGTGGTAGCATCTGCCCTTTTCTATGCAGTGGCCTGCTGGGGGAGTGGATGCACGGACAGGGACAGGAGCAGGATTGACAAACTGGTGCGGAGGTCTAGCTCCGTGCTGGGATGTCCCCTGGAGTCTGTGGAGGTGGTTGGTGAGGGAAGGATGTTAGTAAAGGTGACATCCATCATGAACAACCCACATCACCCACTGCATGAGTATGTGAGTGGGCTGAGCAGCTCCTTTAGTCAGAGACTGAAACACCCTCGCTACAGGAAGGAGCGCTTTCTCAGATCATTCATCCCAACAGCAGTTAGACTCTATAACTCCTCAATCACAATGTCATAAGTCACTGGACACTGTGAACATCCACTGTCACCACTTCATGCATAATGGACCTTCCATGTGTATAGACATGTGCAGGTATATATGTATGTATATGTATACATATGTATATTTAGTGTGTACGTGTGTGTGTGTACATGTCTATAAACAGGAATAGTAGTGGTACAATAGCTATATCAAGCTATATAGTTTATGTCTTCCATATTTCCAGCCATATCCATAATCACATACTGTGTATGCTACCATTGTATATGGTGTATTATCTTACTTTTTTTCATTGATTGTACTTATTGTATTTTTGTATTTCCTTCTGATATCTGTACCTGAGCTGAGGTGACGCAAAAATTTCCCCGTTGTGGGATCAATAAAGTCTTATCCTATCTCTTATCTTATCTTCTTTGCAACAGATTCCAGTAGTTAGTTAAAGATAGTCAGTATTATGTTTGTGAATGCACATTGTAAAACCAAGTGAGGAAAAAGAGCAAGGTGGAATAGTTGAAATGTGGCTTGATAAATATGGAGAGGGATAAATTTGCTGTTTTCCCGGAGGGACTAGCGGGCCGTGCTGTTGGGATAATATATTTTTTCATTTTTTCTTAGAGCTCAAATATCGTACACCATAGGATAAACACAGCGGTCATTTTTATTTTGATACATTTCCTGTTATATCAAAGTGCATTCCTATTTATTACCCGTGGAGAGCAGCAACAGGCTCGGATGACAGTAAGCAGCCTCAGTTTTCAGTAGAGGAAGAAAGCGGAGACGTCACATGGAGAGATACAACAGCAGTAGCTGCTACACCACTAATCACACAACATTAACATAACTAGCTACTAAAAGCTAACCTGGCTAGCTAATTGTTTCGTCTTCTTCATGCAGTCGGATTTGCAAATTTGCAAGAAACAAAATTCATAGACGGTGCAAAACGGAAAACAATATTACGGTCACACACAGCTACCGTGGCCTCTTCTTGCATCCAGTAGGCAGGGTATTTAGGCTAGCTAGCGACTCTGCCTTGGCTAGCGTCAGGCTAGCCAGCTAGCTAGCTAGCTACTAACATCGCTATCGGTAGTTAGCTAGCTAGCGAGCTGTAGTAACTTACGTCATGGAGGAACTAGTCGTGGAAGTAAGAGGGACAAGTGGGGCTTTTTATAAGGTAAGTTATTGACTTTTGTCGAGTTTAGTGACCACCGTTCACACACTATGTACCAAGTAAGCCTAACTAACATGAAATTGTGTCACGGGGCTAGCTCAGTGTTATATGTGGGCCTCGGTGCTTCTGCTCAACGTCTACCGGGACCTGAAACCTGTAAACAAAGCTAACGCTGCGGTGGGGCTCTAACATCAGCGGTAGTGGATAAATTGGTGAACTATTGGTGATAACGACGCTTAACCAGGGTAGCTGTTTTAGCGGTATCGGTAACGCTGATGTGACTGCTGTACGATGGTACCCCTAAAGTGATGTGCAAGGGTTGGTTGCAGACTCACAAACATCAGAATCAATCATGGGTTGGCTGTTTTTTGTTTTTTGCTTTTGTCAAAGTAAGTTAATTCAGAGCAGCACACAGGGGCGATGGTTTGGCTAACCTTTATTGTGCCCGTAGCTGCCAGGTGTTTTCTTGTTTTGTCAAGACTGCAGAGATTTTGGGGTCAGTCAGGCAACAAGTAGATCATAAATCCGATCCCGTGACCTGCGTGTATCACTGGGGTGGGGTAGGGGAGATAACATAAGCAGTACAATGGGATAACACGCTAATTAGCAATAATTACTTGCATTTGAATATTGTTTAATTCAAGGACACAAGAATACAATGAATGGTGAAGAATCTAAATAAAATGATACATTTATTATTTATTTATTTTAGCTGTCAGGTTTGTTGTAGTGTAAATATAGGATGACATATATCTCAAGTAAAGTTCTGACAGATGTCTTTTTAAAGCTAATAGTTTTGTTGTGGCCACATTAATGCGAGGTACATGAATGCTGTGAGTATGCTGTATAATCAAGGTAAATAGTAATTGGAATTAATCTTGATTCAGGTCACATACTCTCATTAAGCTCAGCAGTTGCCATGTAAACCATAGACTTTCATGCTGTGCGCAAAACTTGTATGCTTTCCCAAATCAAGAGGCTTTTCCTTTGAATGTAGGAAAGTTGAAGTTGGCACTGTCAGCTGTACTTTGGCTTTTAGCTAGGTGTGGCACTAAACAGAAGCCTTTCTTTTAATAGTTGCAATCATATTGTTAGCAAGTACAGAACCTTATGAATGGGTGGGTGTGTCCGAACATTTGACTGGTGCCATAGCTTGAATGATAAGTTTTACTGTCAAACAGCTATGAGAAAAGTTAGGCTAATTTTTGTTAGATAGTAGTCTGGTTTGAAAAAATCCAGTCCCACCAGGTAACTCTTAAGAATACGGTACTTTCATTAGCCATATATCTATCATAACCTACATGTATACCACCATTATATTTAATGTATTTTACCTTATGTAGATCAATCTAATAAGATGATGTAGGTGTGACTGCTTACAAGTATAAGCAGATACACAACAAGAGGGTGACTTTGGCAAATGTCTTTCTGTTCATCAGAAAATGCCCAGTGTGTTCACAGAGGCTTATTCATAGTGCTTAAAACTTAGGCAGTTTGTTCTTCTCTTGGCCCAGTATGATGTCACTGAGAGCAAATATCCCTAATATTGTCATCTTAGGTACACAGTTCTGACTGAAACCCCACCCACCTGCTGTTCACACCTTCTGTTTGCCAGGGGTTGACTGGCAGACAGTTGGCCTAATAGGAGTAGAGCTAAAATGGTTTAAAGATGAATTGAGCTGCACCAGCAAGAGATAAATGTGGATTATTTTCAATTGTGAATCATGCAAAGCTAGTGTAGTAGACTATAATCGAGTAAAAGGAATAGTGTAATAGGTCCACTTTAAAGGAGACTTATTTACGGAGCAGTTACCTTTGCTAGATGGCAGCATAACTCCAACACAGGGAGTTGCATCTTACTGCAGATCACTTGCATGATTTCAATGTTAATAAGCATTCAAATTTTGGTTAATGAATCAAGAGTTTTGAACGTAATCATTTTAGGTAGTTGTTGTGAGGATGTTGATTGACTAAATGTGTAGTTGGCAAATAATTTTTATAATGTTTTTGGTGATAGTTGAACTGAAAAATGACACCCTTGTCTCTGGTATTATAGCAAAACTTAAAATATGCTCTTGGCTGAAATGAACAGCCAAGAGAAATAATGAGTGCATTCATCTGCCAAGTAAGAATAATACTAAAGAAATAATTGTAGAAAATGGTTCTGCCATAAATCACTTGAGTGAGAAACTTAATTTTGCGGTTTTTAAATTGCACCTTATGCAGCATAGAAGTCATTCCTCTTTTTTATTGTAATCTCAACAGCAGTACAACAATTGCAGTTTACTGCCAGTAGACTAAACTACATTATCGCCTAATGCACCCTCTGTGTTGCCCTCATATTTTGTGTTTTGGTATTTTTCCAGTTTTAACAAGATTAATGTTCTTGCTAAAGTCTGAACTTCCTTTCTGAGCGAGACAGTTCAGTCAGTCACAATCCTAAACATGCTCACAGGTCAGTGAGGTCCTGTCAGAATTGGTTTATTTGGGGTTTTTTTAACCTTGGGAGTTTTGAGAATCTCTCCTTCTTGCTTCATTTCATCCACCACTGACTGCTAGCTTGCCAGGTTAATGCAACCCATTGGCAAGGCTCTCTAGCGCTCTCTTTTCCTTCTAGGCATCGCATGGCCTACTTGCAGTGTTTGACACACATGACACACACATCAGCTGTGTGTAGAAGCAGCGAGAGAGAGAGAGACTGAGCCAAACCTGACTCGAGCCCAAAGCTCAAACTCCAGAAAAGGAAATTATTTAGGTTGTTTCATTGCTAGGAGCATTAGGATAAGGTCCGGCTTAAGCAGTAGAACTGGTTCCTGTTTACATGGTCGATGCCAGTTTGACTTGCACACTGACTATTTCAAAGATATTTCGAAACTGAATTTACTTCTGTGACTCTTGCAGGGCTTTGTAAAGGATGTTCACGAAGGATCTGTCATGGTAGCATTTGAAAACAAGTGAGTAAAGTAAAATATAACATTGTGTAATATGTCATTTCTTTGCCAAACAATAAAATGAACTTTTTGTGTTTGTTCCTCTGTCCCAGCTGGCAGCCGGAGCGGCAGATCCCATTCCAGGATGTGCGCTTTCCTCCTCCAACAGGGTTCTGCAAGGAGATCAGTGAGAGCGATGAGGTCGAGGTGAGAAAGTGATTGTTGCCGTCAGACATGGTGGGTTTGGAAAGCAAAGTTGGTATAGCTGGGGAGCAGTTTGGAATAGCATGGAGCGGAGTGAGTAGAGTTGAATTTTCAGTGTAAAATAAGATTTTAAAAAAAGAGGGTGATGCTCCTTAGATAGTCTTAGATTTTCTGTTCTATCATTGGTAAATTAGTCTGACTTGTTATTTTTATTAATAATATTATTCACAATGATTTCCTGTATCAGTGTGTCCAGTTGTTTCTGTGCCAGTTTACTCTTATCAGCTTTGTTTAAAGGTGGGAATTATTTCTGAAATGAACTGTGTGTGTGTCTGCCAGGTGTATTCTAGGGCGAATGACAAAGAGCCATGTGGATGGTGGCTAGCCAAGGTTCGCATGGTCAAAGGGGAGGTAAGAGATGCTCCAGTTCATCTGTAAGGCTCACCAAGCAGCACTGAAACAACATGGCTCTGATAAATTTGCCTAAAACGCTGCCCAGACACTTGCTCCATCCTAAATGCTTTAATATCACTACTTCCTTTATTAATACTAAATACAGCCATGTTTACTAACAACATTTTACACTCATGAAATGTTATGTACTCATAAAAATCCTTTTTATCAAGCTCACTGCAGATATTTAACTTCAGTGTAACATCATTTCTCTGGTGACAGATGTCAGTGTGGGGTTGAGTTTTACAATCCTGAACAACACATTAACTCAATGACTGATTGAATTCAGACTATATGCCCCAGATGTTCTTTATATCCTTGTATTTCCATTTTCCTCTGGATTTTTTGTGCACGTAAGCTCTTCCTCTGTTTGTCCTCCTGTTGTCTTACCACCATCAGATGTACTTTCTTCAAAAGAAATTTTTAATAATATTTACGCACAGCTCCAGCCTGTATGGGACTTATTTAAACTTTTGAAAAAAAGTGATGTTTTTCTATTGGATCGCTCATACTTGATCTGTCTTTGTTTCCAGTTTTATGTAATAGAGTACGCCGCATGTGAAGCCACATTAAATGAGATAGTGACGCTGGAGAGGTTACGGCCGGTCAACCCGAATAAACCAGCCACCAAAAACACCTTCATTAAGATCCGACTGGATGTACCCGAAGATCTACGGCAAATGTGAGTTTGACTTGCATGAATAAAGACTGGTGCACAAGTTTGAAATTATTTGGATTTTCTGTAATCCACATGGGGCCAAAAGCATGCATACACTACCCACTAACTTGTGGTTAAATGTCCCTTAGCAAGGTGCGCCTCAACCAGAAGCTTTTGGTAGCCATCACCAAGCTCCTAGCATAATTATAGCTGGACTGCTCATCTTGGCAGAATTGGTCAAGTTCATTTAAATTGGTTGATTTGTTGGTAAAGTTTAGGAAGTCCATTCCAGAGCCATTTCTAAATAACTAAAAATTCCAGAAGCATCAATTTAATGTTACCACTTTGACGAGGTCTAGGAGAAGACCCCAACCGTCACCCTCAGATGAGAGGAATTTGGTTACATTGTTCAGAAACAGCCAAGGCTCAGCTGTGCCCTGAGATTGAGACTGCTGGAACATCAGCAGAGAAACTAGTTTTACGTCACCAAGAAAGAAGCCCCTACTCTATAATTGACGCCTTCAAGCATGATGGAAATTTGCACCTGTGCAGGTAGACAAGTCAGATGCCTTCTTTAAACTTTTGTTTTAAAGTTTTATGGTCAGAAGAGACAAAGACTGAGCTATTTGGTCATAATGACAAGGTATATTTGGAGAAGTAAAGATCAGGCTTTCAGGGCTAAGACCTGTACCAGCTGTCAGACATGGTGGTGTCATCATGCTGTAGGGCGGTTTTACAGAGCTGGAATACCTGAAATTCTTCAACTTCAAAAGACATAGTTGGGTGTTCCTACAGGATAATGACCCCAAACACATCAAAACTAGTTCTGGGATGGATAAGACAAACGAACATTTAGTTGCAACTTGAATTGAGACAATTAACCGACTATTCGTCTGGGTGCATCTGTATATTTAATCCTATATACATATTTTTGACCCTGTGTGCATGAGAGAAAATCCAAAATAATTTCACATTTGCCATTAAAGTTGTATGCTGCACAATCTTTTCATTCTAGAATATTAATCGTTCAAAGAAATAATTAAAAGCTTAATATTACTGTTACATTCTTGACCACAACTGTACGGTCAAAACTTGACTTGCTCCAGCTTGTATATGAGCCTGTACTCCCAGAAGATTTTGTATGTGTACATGTATCCATAAGCTGTTATCACTGAGGACAAATTCATTTATTAAGCAACTTGTTTGCTGGTTTCACTATGATAAAGTATACGTGTTCTTGTGTTCCCAGGTGCTCCAAGGAATCAGCACACAAAGACTTCAAAAAGGCTGTGGGAGGGTTCAGTGTCACCTACGACTCAGAGAAAAAGCAGCTGGTCATTTTGGTTGGTCAAACTGTTGTTTTTCTTCTTAATGTGCTACATTTTCACACAATCATATCCTCTATTGACCCTTGCATAGCATCACCTTGAAGTGAAGTGCATCCATAGGTGACTTAAAACATCAGAACCTCACTCGTGTATGATATTAATGTGCGTAATGTTTGATTGTTACAGTCGGTGAATGAGGTCACAACAAAGCGGGCCAATATGATGAGCGACATGCACTTCAGGAGCCTCCGCACCAAGCTGTCTCTAATGCTGAGGAACGAAGAGGCCAGCCGACAGCTGGAGGTAGGTTACGCACAGCTCCAGCCTGTATGTGACTGTTTGGATCATTTTGCAGCCTGGGATGGAGAGTTTTTAAAGGGTTTCTTTTCAGTAAACTTACACACCCTCTTTGCTCTTTTGTGGAATTTATTAAATGTTAATTAATGAATTTTTTTGATGTGCATTTCTTCAGAGCTCCAGACAGCTGGCGTCTCGGTTTCATGAACAGTTTGCTGTTCGGGACGATTTAATGGGTCTCGCCATCGGGACTCACGGGGCCAACATTCAGCAGGCGCGTAAAGTTCCTGGAGTCACTAACATAGACCTGGACGAAGAGACCTGCACCTTCCACATATACGGAGAGGTAGGAGGGCTTTACTTGTACACAAATGAGCTGAGACATAGATATGTAGAGCTTGCCCTCATTAATGTTAAGTGGGTACAAATTTAACAGACCAGCATGGGGTAAAAAAACACAAACAAAAGTAAGTATGCCTGTTTTATATTTCATGAAAGGACCAGGATGCTGTCCGTATAGCCAGAAGTTTCCTGGAGTTTTCCGAAGATATCATCAAAGTTCCCCGGAACTTAGTAGGTGAGAAAGTCGCTCAACCGAGACAAAGAAATGAATCATCGGGTACCTTTATTTTACTTGATTTAATCCAGTTTCAAGTTCAGCCAGAGTGAGACTGATGTTTTTTCTCATGCAGGGAAGGTGATTGGCAAGAACGGCAAGCTGATTCAGGAGGTGGTTGACAAGTCCGGTGTGGTTCGGGTTCGTATTGAGCCTGAGAACGACAAAAAACCATCAGCGGCAGCGGCAGCAGCTGCTGATGAGGTCAGTAGGGAGAGAAAGTTGCGTCGTGTTGCTGCATTAAAAATCATCACAGTAAATACAGCAGTGTTAGAGCTCAATCACTAAGAGGATTCAAACTCTCCTGGTCCTCCTCTGTCACAGGGAATGGTGCCATTTGTGTTTGTGGGAACCAAGGAAAGCATCTCCAATGCAACAGTACTACTAGACTATCACCTCAACTACCTTAAGGTTTGTGTCCTCAGTGATGTCATCTTCTACCAACCAAACATTAAAACGGAGCTAAAGGATGTGGTCAGGCAGGGATAGAGTGGTGGCCCCAGTAGGTAGAGTGGTGGCCCCATGACCGGAAAGTCGGTGGTTCGAATCCACTGAACGGCTACCCTGGGGTACCCCTGAGCAAGGTACCGTCCCTACACGCTGCTCCCCGGGTGCCCAATGGCTGCCCACTGCTTCACTGAGTGAATGGGTTAAATGCAGAGAGGAATTTCCCCACAGGGATCAATAAAGTATACTTTCTTTCTTTTCATTGTTGACCTTCTGTGACGTTTTCGTTCATGTCCACAGGAGGTGGACCAGTTGCGACTGGAGCGTCTGCAGATCGATGAGCAGCTGAGACAGATAGGCGGTGGAGGCGGAGGGGGGGGGACAGGGCCCCGAAACCCTAAAGACAAAACCTACGTGTTCGATAATGGAATGGGGCTCGGGATGGGCCGAGGAGGGGGAGGAGGAAAGCCCTATGGAGGAGGGGGAAGAGGTGGACGAGGGCGGAGAGGAGGAGGAGCTGCTTTTGCCTCAGGTTTGATAGTTACTGCATCTATATTACTGCGGGTAAACTACAAGAGCTGATGTACTCTCAAGTCAGTCAGCTGCAGATGTTTCATGTAAAATTTGTTACGTTGTTACTGCACTTAGTATTTTCAGGTATCTGTACTTGGGTATTTATTTTTATCACAACTTTTTACTCCCTACATGTTAGCATAAATATCTGTACTTTCTGCTCCTTGAATTTGGAAAACTGGCTCATTACTTTAGGTCTAACACATTTGAGGGAAGTAATTACTTTATGTCGCTGAGCACCTTTAAACATTCAACCAATCTGAACCTAAATGGAGGGAACAATAAAACATAGTCTGCATTAAAAGGAGTAATGTTTTTTTAAGTGGCAGCTGATTTCAGATGCAATGTTTCAATCAGCTAATGCACAAACTGTTTATATGCAGTTTGTCACACAGTGTGTTGCTAGCTACAGGTCCAGCTGCTGTATTTCACAGGTAGATAAAAGAAATACAGTTAACTTCATTCAGAGAAAGATGAGAAAGACAGGAGAGGAAGATGAACAGAGGTTATATTTAAAGGTGAGGACTTCTCACTGCCATTTGATAGACAGGACATTTAAATCAAGCATCAGCTTATATCTTGATGAATTCAGTTGTTTAAATCGACTCTGAGCAGCCTGCACACAAAGAAAATGTACTGGAGCTCTGAACAAAGACTATTGTTACTTATTTCTAAGTGATTCTTCTCCCTACGCTGCACCACTACAACCAACCTTAGGTTTCCTCACCAGACAAATCCCACTTGAGCCGCTGACTACACTAATTCTTCTGTTTAGGTATGGAGGTAAAGTCACCCATCAGCTGGTAACAGTATCCTCCAAAGAGCTAATTACTTTTATAAAAGTGTCAGAGCTTCTACTTTTTTAAAATAAAAAAATTTAATCAGTTTTTCACCTTTTACCAGATTTTTTTTTTTTAACAGAAGTACGTATAGGAGAAAGTCTCCTGTGATTGTTTGGTTTAGATGTAAAAGGCACAATGACAAAGCAAACGAGCAGATTCTCGGCCATAGATTTATGTTCTTGTGATTTCATTTCATATTGAAGTAAAGCATTTGGACATCTGATATTTCAGTAAAAACGTTTCCCCAGGCGATGATCTGATTATGAAACTGCAATTAATCAAAGGTTGAGTCTGTGTTGTCTTTCCGAGGCAGCCGAAATGAGGTTGGACTTTGTCCTCGGTCCCCCAGGCACCAACTCTGAGGCATCCAACGCTTCAGAGACAGAGTCAGACCACAGAGACGAGCTCAGTGATTGGTCGCTGGCCCCCACAGAGGAGCTAATGACAGGAGGTGGGACCCTGCCCAGACGGACAGATGGGAGGAAGAGAGGAGGCGGCGGTGGGCTGAGGGGACGAGGAGGGAGAGGAAGAGGAGGGGGAGGATATAAAGGTGAGTGTTAATTATCATTGGCGGTCTTTGATCTTTTCACAGGACTCTTATCTCATTCCATGATTTTTTGGAGCACTTTGTCTAAAAAATGATCAATGCAAAAGCTTGCTAAATGTTTCTATTAATCAGATGATAATGAATGGAATTTATTTTCATTTGAAAAAATGAAAATATGAAAACGATTAAAGAGAAAAAAGTTGGTGTGTAATGACTCAAAAGAAATAACATTTTGAGATGCTTTTCATCAAATTATGGCCTAAAGAATGGAAATAAATCACATCATGAGATCTCTGCAGACCTCCTGTGCAAATAAATTCTCATTATGAGTTTTCTTTTCAAAACGATCCATATTTATATTGAAAGAAACTATTTCTCCCAACTTTAATCTAATTAGGATGTACACGAATTTCACCCTATTTTTACCTGGCAAAAGGTAGGTCACCTAAGACTGAGTCTACTGAGCCATGCGAAGATTGTTTACATGACTGTGGCTAACTTTGATTGCTAACTCGTTGTTTTTAATGTTGGTTTAGGTGAAGACATGCAGTGGAACGAGCCGAGAACTCGTCACATCAGAGACTCAAAGACAAGAGGCCAAGAAGACACTCTGCAGGTAACAGTCACAAACAGCTGCTGCTAAGTTATTTTCATGTCATTGTTTAAAGTCTAATATCTTTGAAACGCTCCTCAAAATTCTGTAAACATGCTTTTCAGTGAGCATGCCCTGATTGATCCTTCTTTCTGGCATTAAAAAAACGGCCAAAATGCAGAAAAAATTCAAGTATTCTAAATTCAGTATGACCTGAAATGAGTGACTAAATCCATTAAAGCATCAGGAAAGTGTTCAAGGATATTTTTCAGTCATCTGTAGGACCAAGGTTTTTTGTAGGCACATCTGTCACCCCTGATGGTCATTAAAAGGAAAAAAACTACATCTGTCTTTATAGTTTTACACCTATAGTTTGTTCACTCCGGTTCAAATCAGATGTTTGGTTTGTTTTCACACAGAAAAAAGTGAAATAAAATGCGTCACTACAAACCATGTGACCATTCAGTCAGCTCATTGGTCAGATGTGTCTGGAGCGGGTGCATAAAAAAATGTAAATACAGGAAGAAGGTGCTTTGCTCTGGACTACTGGAGAACGCAGAGAGTTTACGTTCATTTCACAGCTAGCTGCTGAACAGACCTTTGCGCATCTATAGTGCCTTCCCGAGATCAGCGTACATAGTTATGGGATGTTTTGTAGCTCAAACTTGTAACGTACTCCTGTTAGCTGATTCATGTTGTGTTCATACCTGCACAAACAAACCACACAAAATGTGGGGAAACGAACAGAGTTAGAACTGACAACACGCCGCAGGTGTGCAAACACCCTTCTACTCTTCATGGCTCCCTTTTAGAGCCACCATCAAGTGGCCATTACAGGAACTGCAGTTTTTGACCACTAATTTTATTTTGCAGCTACAAAGTTTGGAAATTCTGTTTCAAGCAAGACATTTAAAGGAGGTGATGATTGTTTACAGTGAGATGATGTAGATCACTTACGATGATAAGATAATACAGCTGAATAATATTTGAGGCTGACTGTAACTATTTACGTTTCTATTTTAAGCCATGCTTATTTAATGAATTCTCAGTGCTTTGCAAAAACAATCCAGCTACTTCAGCATACTGGCAAATATTATGAGACTGCTACTAATTTTTGAATCATTTCTTCTGCAAATATTGTTTACCCTTACACCACTGTCACAGTCAACAGTGCTATTTTCTGCATATCAAATGTTCCCTCTGTTTAACACTCCAAACCTCAACTGTCAACAAGACACTCTCTGTGTTGTCACACACTCAAAGTCCTGCCTGTTCTCACTGAACATCACTGTAGGACACTTTCTAAGATGGGGCTATATTTAGTCCTAACTTAACTTTCTGCTTGATTCGTGATTGCAGCAGGTTTGACATATGTAAAGGTGCACAGCACGGTGGGGTGATGGTTAGTACCACTGCCTCACAGCAAGAATCTCCTGGATTTGATCCACCTGGGGCCTTTCTGTGTTTGCATGTCTTGCTCATGTCTGTGTGGGTTCTCTCCGGAAACACCAACTTCTTCCCAAAGTCCAAATACATGTGGGTTAGCTTAACTGGGGATTTTAAGGTGGCCGTTGGTGGTCCCTTTTGCCCCACAGGACCTCTGAGGTGATCTAAGGAACGTTGGCAGTGGACACTTGTGGTCTTTTTTTTGGAGGAAACTTGTTCTATAATGAATTGTGATATGAAACACTTGAAGGCTGTGTTGTTTACATCAAGTGTTTTTGCACTATGGTGGACATCACCATACTGTGCTGTTTGGGACACTACAGCCCTTCAGGTGCTACTGCTATATAAGGGTTTGCCCGTTCTGCAGCAGTTTTTAGGTGGGTGGTGCATGTTAAATAACAGCTGCATGAACACAAGGACCAAAGCTCTTTTAGCAGATTTGTGCATCATAACAAGGTGATCATTGTTTTTCACGTCAGCTGAAAGAGGTACTGAAATTGTGGCGTATAGCATTGTTCCTGCTAATTAAAGTCAGGTTTTCAGTACAGCTGTGAACGGACTGTACCAAATGCTTCAGATAAGCACTGACATCTGTGTGAATGATCAGTGTATGCAGAGACAGGTGGAAGTCCGCCCTCTATCTATCACACAGTTCGTGTTGACAGCTGGTCAGCTAGCATTGACTCATACACAGTAACAGAGTATAAACCACTGTTCGTTTCTCAGCTTTGTCTCAGAGAAGAACTCGTTTTCTTTAGTCTGACCCTCCTGAACGCTCCTCCTCTGCTTCTAGTAGTGGATTTACTGAGATGCAAAATATTTTACAGGACAGGCAAAATATAATTTCTATTACTTTTATTTTATAATAACCTTTTTGTGAACGATGCATTTCTACAGTTTATTAGCCAAATAAAACAAAAAACAGAATTGCCATACAAAAACCTAAAATAACCAGGCTGAAACCAAACGGATAAATAACCTGGTGCAGGGAGGACTGAGGCAGGTGCAGGTGCTGCCCCTCCCTAAGTCTGGTCCTGATGATGGGTTTTTCCTGTTAAAAGGGAGTTTTTCTTTCCCACTGTTTCTACTGCTTGCTCATAGGATTGTCGGGGTTCTCTCTCATAATACTGTTACAATATAAAGCACCTTGAGGTGACTGCTGTTGCTATTTGGTGCCATATGAAAAGCATGCAGCAGGCTGCACCGAGGGTAAAGGGAAAGTTAGCTGTGTAGTGTGGGGCCAGACTCTTATGGATTTCTTTATTTTTCTACCCGCAGATTCGTGTGGACGGGAACAACGAGCGTAGCGTGCAGCACTCCTCAGGTGGCCGAGGCGGTCCGTCCTCGTCCCAGGGCAGTCTCAGTGGCAGCGGCGAGGGACAGCCCCGCCATCATCATCAGAGACCTACTAGAGACAGAGGGATGAAGAAGGAGAAACAGGACGCTCCCGCGCTGGTGAACGGAGTGTCGTAGATACCCCACTGGAGGACCTTCTCACTTAGACACACACACACAGGCAACTCATCACAGAACATCGTAGAGTCTCAGTCTCTGCTTTTTCTTTTCTGTCTCTGTCTAACACAAGAATACACATATTTCCATCAGCATGGAAGTGTTTACAGTAGTGAAGTCTTAGGCTGGAGGTGATCTTGTATCTGCTGGTCTGGTCTGTTCTTGACTGGTGTTGTATCTCCTGCGCATTCTCTGGATGAAAGAAGAGGAGGAATTAGACTAAAGCTCATCTCACAAACAACCATTAACACCAAACATACTCGTGCCCCACTAAACCAACATAGTTTGTTTACTGATGCTCCATTTGGACTTGCTAATGTGAGAGAAAAAAATGAGGCAAAAGAAATCATTGGCCGTTGGGAATCAAAGATTTGCAGCCACTGGAGAAAGCAGGATGGAATATGTGCCCTCGCTCCCTGAAAAGCACACTTTTAGGAGGTGGCTTCAGTTTTTTCGGCAGGTCTAAATTTTATTTTTGGTTTTGTGAAATCTCCAACACATCCTTTATAATGGAACTGTTTTATCCAGAGAAGCGAGTCTCTGTGGGAAATCAGCTCTATTATTCCACAGAGACTTTTGAGGTTAACTATCAATTTAAACACATCTTTTCAATAAGGGGCAGAAACGTTTCGGTGTCACCCAAATGACATGCAATCCTATGGGGATTCAGACTGGAAGATGATGTTTGTAGAGGGCACTTTATGGACTTTCTTTCTTTCTCTCTTTCTTTCTAACGTAGTTATTGTTTCTTTCTTCTTTTTCTTTTTTTTTCAACATTTAAAAGCATCCATGTTTCAGAATGAAATGCAAACGGGGAGGCATGAGCTCTGAAGTCACCTGTGTTTTGTTTCCCGTTGCCTTGATATTCAGATTCAGTAAAACTTATCGAAACGTACAAATGGAGAGACATAAATCTGAGGCACACTGATGCACATAAACTGCTTAAACACAGCGACTCCCATGAGTTTGTGTCAGGGTACATATTGTTATGAACTGTTCTCCTTTCCAAAGGAAGGTTACACTCCTGTACAATGACCAGAAATGCATTATTCCTGCGTGTTTACAATTAGTCTACCATAAACACTCCACATGTGTGCAGTGGTGTTAGTCCACAGTGAGGGACTAAGCTCCCTGAACTCATTCATCTCATCTGTAAAGAGCTGTCAGCAGGAATCACCATCCTATACCACTCTTCATCTTCTTCAGTGAAGGGTGCAGACTGAAGCTAGGCGTATTTTGGTTAGGTCCACGTAAACCTGGATTGATGCCCGTTAAAGTCATTTCCTTTGCTTTCAGACAAGCAGGATGCATTTAGAGCAGCTAACTCCTGTCGCACCACTTTGTTTTTCTTAATTTATGAAACTCTTTGTATTTAACTTTGCCATGACAAACTTATTTGAAGTGTAACTGTAGAGGACATGACAGACTGTTGAGTTTTTCCTTGACAAAATAAAAATTTGGCCTAAGTTTTATTCTTTTTGGTGATCTTATTCCTGACCCGTTCAGTTCACATATGTTTTCTTTTAGTTTTTTTTTCTTCTTGTTTTTGAACAGTAGAGCAGTGTGATAGCAGTCATGCTTCATCCATTGATTTTCCATCCATCGATTTTTCGATCCATCGATTTTCTGATTCAGGGTCTTGGGGACTAGGGCTGATCCCAGCTGACTTTGAGAGGCAGAGGTCCATCACAGAGCCTTTTCCATCCACACCCACTGAAGTGTGTGAAAAGTCTTTATCTCTGTGCCTTTGATTTATGCTCCTCCATTTCTCTGAATTTGGCCTGAACAGATTAGAACTTTTCATCCTGCCTGTTCAAACCCAGCGCTACACCCCTCCTTTAAAACATACTGCAGATGGATGTTTTGTAGAGTGAGTGGTTGTGTGACCCTGTTTACATTGGTTTCCATTGTTTTGAGGAGGCACAGCGGTGTAGCCTGCTGAGGTATTTTATTCTAGGGTGAGACCAGTTTTCTGACCTTGCTCGATACTTTTCTGCTTCGAGTCAGAGCTCTTCGAGGCGCTGACGTAAACAACCGGAGCAGCAGACGGTTCGTCTTCAAACAGCTCAGTAACTTTGTGTTACCAGTGCAGGCTTTCAGACAACAAAGGAGCAAGACTAAGCAGGACATCGCTTCAAGCTCTTGAGGTGTTCCAACCTGCTGTTCGGTTGATACCCCAGTTGATCACTGACTTCGTAAATATGTTGAATAGAAGGATCCTTAGGTTCACCGTAAACATCTAAATAGCGGGAGTCAAATGTAGGCTGCAGCGAGGCTGTTGGTCATTGACATCGTCAAGTTGTCCTAAAGTCAAAGCGACTGCTGTGCTGTATACAGGCTAATGTAGAGAGGACCTGTGGGTGATTATGATGAAAATAATACTCATTAGTTCGAATAAAGTGACGGTCAGTGTAAAAGACAAGCAACAAAAAGCTGTTCTTAAGGTTTCTCTGTGCATTTGTAGGCACATTTCACAGGAACATCTCACCACTAGTTTCTAGCACTGAATCTGGAGTAGCAGGTTGGCTGTGGGTTATCCAGGTTACATTATTCCACTGGTTGTTACAGTAGCATAGGACTTTCCCAGGAAGAATCCACTGGATATAAAGTTAGATCACACAGTGTTAAAAGAAACCACGTCATCATGGGTGATCACGATACCCTAATCTTTTTTTGTTCCTTTAAAAAATTGTTCCACAAGTATTGGCAATCAAATTGTCCAAGGTCTGAGAAAAATTCAGTAAGAAAATTGGTGCCAATCTCTACTAAACAATGACGTTTGAGCCATTGCGTATTTAGATTAGCAGGGGCTCTAAACAGTTAGCCAAAGCTAACCAAACCTGGTGACCAGCACCTCCGAATGCCGGTCGGAGGACCAGCAAACCAGTCACATTCATTTAGGCTTTCTTTTTCTGATTTTGTTAAACTCATTTTTGCCTTGTTTCGATTTAAACTTTACTGTGAATTAAGGTGTACTGACCTGGATTTATTAGTGAGAAAAGCAGTAATGGTATTGCCCAACAGACTGCTTTTATTAAGAGCACCATCAATAAGCACTGCAGAAAATAAATTTACAGTATGTTCAATTAAATTCCAGACTGTCAGAAACAAGAGCTCTCTCCTCTTGGTAATCACCAGCTCACTGGTAACCCGTTCTCGGTTACATTTTGAATCCTGTTCCTAACCCTACATTTGTCACCAATTACCTGGGGGATGACCAGAGGTTAAAAGTCATGGCGAGCAAATCCATGTGAATGCTGTGAATGCTCAGGGAAACCTTAACTATATTTTGTGTAACATGTGCCTTTAATTGTGGCTAGCATCACAGCGTAGACTTGTAAATCAGGGATGATGAGATGTTACTAACGGACCAGATGAATAAAGACGGCAGCTCCTGTAGCGCAAATCCTCTTTGGTCGTCACTGACAATGCTGAGCATCTCGAGCTTCCTCTAAAAGTCTAAGGGCCGTTTATGAGATGGGTGATTTTTGGCACTTCAGGAAACTGCCTTGTTTAACCACCTGGTCTGGACACACTGAAGGTGTTGTAACCTTGTGCAGTTGACAAACGTAAGCCTGTAGCTCGGGACCTGGTTCGACTTGTTTCTGAAATGGATTCGGTTACTTCTGTGGGAACATGCAGAGATCAACTCTGAGCGGCTACTTTCATGCCAAAGAGAGGCATGTTCTCTGTACTCACACCTTTTAAAGGGTTTTCAGTAAAGACGACCCAGTGCAGCGTCACTGCTGCTCTCACCGAACCGAGAAAGCAGCTGAAGAGATTTCAGAGGTTGAGCCAGGTCTTCTCTTTAACAGACATCGGTGTACTTTTTCAGTCTTGCGGTGCATGCATTTATTTATTTTGGATCTTAAAGACATTCAGTAGATTTGGACACATTCAAAAGATAAGTTTAAGTTTGTTTTCTTTTTTTTGGATCAGTGTTGCTTTGTCTCAGTTCTTCTTGACCTGAGTTCGGCTAGCAAAGCCAGCGATGAATAACATCGTATGTGAATAGACAGTGATACCACTTTCACCTTTTTTAGGAAATGTCACAGGAAGTAACCAATCGTGAAACAGGCTTTCTTTGAATTTCATCTTTTCCTTTTACAAAAAAGTATTATGCCTGTCGGCTTTACTTATCATTAATCTGTTAGGACCTTTGCTTTTACTGCAGCCATGTTGCATTTTTTTTTTCCTCTGTAAGCGTTCTCAGCAGTGCATCGACAGATTGCTCGAGTGAAAGTAACCCATTTATTGTCAGTAGAGCTTCAATATTATGGAGTTTCTGTATTTAAAGAAAACGGTTAGAAAAAGCGCCCCCCGCGACCCTGAAAAGGACAAGCGGAAGCGAATGGATGGACGGTTAGAAAAAGAAGGGAGGATGGCATACTGTATATAATGATGTCATTATTTGTCTAAGAAAAGATGTTTCAAATGTGCACTTATCCTGATATATTCTTTGTTTTCTTTTTAGTTTGCTAGAACTCTTGATAATAAACTTAACGTGTGGAAAAAATAGTGTTCTCCAAGCAGGATTGAGTCACATTCAGCTTTCATTAATAATGAAATGTCCATAATTTTGCACAACTTTACTGAAAGAGAGTTTTTTGTTTTTTCTTTTGTTTTTGCCAGACGGGGAAAATCCACAATGAATGGTTGAAATCACATACAGAAGGTTTGCTAAGACTGATTTTGACTAGTCTGTACAGTGTTTAGTTGATTCAGTGGCACTGTGTTACTTTTATAATGCGTCCACTAATTTTCTGAAACAGCAATTAAGTCCATCCAAATAATGCACCAAAGTTCATAGTGATACTCCATCCAAAATATATTATTTAGTATACCTGTCTGGTTGGGCATAATTTAATTTAAAAAATGTCCAGTGACATTTTTCAACTCAGGTCTTTGGTAATGATTGGCCATGTTTACCACTAGCTACCACTATCCACTAGTCCAGCGGTCCCCAGGCCACGGACCGGTACCGGTCCGTGAGTCATTTGGTACCGGGCCGGGAGAGTGAGACTCTGGTGTGAAATGTATGGTTTTCAGGGTTTTTTATCGGTTTTTAGCGTTATTTTGTTATCGTTTTTTTTCGTTAACTCTGTTTTCCTGGGTCTTTTCACTTGTGTTATGAATAAATCTTATTTTTATTGGTATCGGTACTAGTTTTATTTTGTTGTATTTATCCGCGACACCTTAAAGGCCGGTCCGTGAAAGTATTGTCGGGCACAAACCGGTCCGTGGCGCAAAAAAGGTTGGGGACCACTGCACTAGTCCACCAACGGACCATGTAAGGTTAGGGCTGAGTTTTGTCTTAGCCATACGTACATTTTCAGCGTTAATCCATTGATTTCTTTTATTTGGGTGTTCCAAAGAGCCACCAGTTTTTTAAAGGGTTGAGGTTAAACTAGCGAGAACTTGACCAATATCAACAGTTAGTCCTCAAATATGATGAGACCATCAACATTAGGCTCATGTCTATGTGCTAACAGATGCAGCTAAGAGGTGGTTAGCCTAGCTAAGCACAGGTTCTATCCAAAGTTTAAAGGCGCCTTTAGGGTTGCTGAAGATGCACTGAAATGTTAAAATGTGGTGAATTAAGCTTGTAATTGGTAATTAAAAAGCATTCATTTAACTTATTAGGTACAGCTTGTTATTGGGTGACCATAAGTCTGCTTAGCTGTTTACCCCATAGCATAATGCCATGCTAAGCTAATCACCTCTTTGTTTATTTTTCTCCCATAAAGGATGCATTGGTCTACCTACAAGCATGTACCAGCTTTGGTAAAAGCTTGCCTCCTTCTGTAACTGAAGTAACTCATGTTTAATGTGGATTTTCCCTTTAATTTAAAGCCAGTAAATGTGTCTTATACCCTGGACTTGTCATCTTTTTATGTACAGAGACCCAAATGACTAATGAGAGTTTTGTTAGGATTCCCTTAACCTCTTTTTCTTTTAAAATACTGTAATGTTTTCATAAATTTACAGGTAAGACTTTTCTTGCAAGAGCTGATTCTCTTTGAAATGACAAAAAAAAATATTGTATTGAGTCTACAAATGTCCTACTTTCACACCGTCGCACCAGTGACAATGAAATTCTTTGCATTTTTGTGTGAGCTACAACCTGCTTGTTGGTGTATTTTATTGTGCCTCCTAACACAAAGTTCAGAGTAGAAGTTTTTAATTTCCAGACCGAAAACTACATTTGGGAGAGCTGAAGTTTTTTTTTTTTTTCATGCTTTGGTTGCCTTTTTAGGGGCATTACTAACAAACTATAGTTTGAAACCAAGGCTTATATACTGTGGAAAATGTACATTTAAAAAAAAAAAAAAAGCAGTAAAGGACTGTTGCATGCTGACCAGTTTGGGTCATTGGAAAAATGGTACTAAGGAAGCCTTTACGTTCAAGTTTCCACAACTTACTGGTTGTGGCCTTGTTATTCAGTTCTGTGGTTTTTGAGTGACTT